ACAACACCAAATTGATGCGCTACAACTAAGTAACAGGCGTGCAATTGCTAGTCGCCCATTTGTTCCTCCGACGAAAGCGCCTGCAACATTTGGCATGTTATTTCCGAACAACCCTTTGTTTTAAAACACTGGTTTTGGTGGAGCTCTATTCAAAGTCCTCAATAGTGTTTAGGACTGTATCTATTGTATACACTTACTGTTTACTTTACTTATTATCGTAATATTTATTATATAGAATAGCCCCTATTAACAGTTACCGTGGTAGATTGTTTTTATTGCTCTTCGATTCCAGTGGGTACATCCACTGTTGCTTACGCCTGTGTTATTTACGTCGCCTATGAGTACCTACTACGCCTGAGAAGAGATGGTATAGAAGGACAACCACGCAGAGGTCATAGTCGTCTTTGTCGATTCTGACTCTTCCTCATGTGAGCACCTCGTTCCGCATTTTTCCATAACAGGGCGCTGTACAAGTTGTTTATGGCAATTGGGAAAAGTAGACTCCTGCATCCGAGTTGTTGCAAACAGTACAGTTTCTCTCTGAACCATTTTGACTTCAGGGAATAAATAGCTCATACGTCGTGATAGCAAACAAGACACTGTGACCTGCACGGAGTTCATGCACGACGATCATAAGCACACGGATCTAGTAAATGTGTGAATCAGGTTTTCAAGTAGCAGCCAAGCGTGTAAGTGAACAACAACAATAAGTCTCAAAGAACCAAAAATATGCACCTTACTCCGTACAAAACGCTTGCATTTGCTGAGCACAGCACCCACCACACAATGGAGACACAGAATACTTGACAGGACAGGCGCTTTTGACTTGGAAGTGTGAGACTGACCATAGTCTGATACCAGCTAATCATTGCATAATGCACGTAAACGTATGAGTGGCTCTTCCGATATTTTGCATCCAGTTTTTTTTGTTGACAGCAACAATTCTCATGCTGCATTTCAACTTAGTAGAGAAGGTCTAGTTTATGACTCCCATGAAGTCATAAAACCATTCGAGGTCACCAGCCTCACTGTTGATGTGTGTGAAAACACTAACGTGCTTCCATGGGTACAACTTGCTTATTTTCTTACTAGTGTTTAGGACAGAAACAAATTTGAAACGGGGTTTTTTCTTAGTTAATTTAAAACCAGGCGCAGTCTATACTGATATTGAATTCAACTCACTCAAAGCACTTTACAAGGCAAAGGTAGTGCTTATGCTCATTCCCATACTCAAAAAGATTACTTATGCCTATTTAGCGGTTATTTAGAGACGAGTGGAGACCCGTAGAGTATAATCAAGGCGCCGATCTAACGTTGTTAAACGATTGCACAACATAAGTTGTCACACCCAGGACGACCATTGTGCATAGTGAACTACCGCACAATCCACTATTTGTAAGATTTATTACTTATACTCACGTTGTTTTACAAAACATTGTGGTCCTAAAACATGGCTAGTGGATTAGTCCGCCGATAAATGCGTTGTTGTACAAACCCGAACCTTTGTTACACACGCACTTCGCCGAAATCCAGCATGAATTAACACTTACAACCAGCATTTTACAAGTACGCACATCTTACAGACCTCCTCCATGATGACGGCTATTGTGTCTTGTACCGCATTTTAGAGACTAGCTTTGTCCTGTCGGAAGGAACTCGAAATCATCAGTACCTTCAAAACCCATTCAAAAGCATGCCACCAAACAATCTCCAACTGAAAGTACAGCGGTTCGACAATGGTATCAAGACAATATTGCACGGATTCTGGCCTCACTTGTTGAGGAGATTCCAAGCTCCTCGTTTGATATTGCGTCAGCATTTCGCGTCTCTTTAATTTCTACCACATCAGTACATGTCCATCATTATGGCTTGCACATTGCATCACCGAAGTTATTGATAAAGCCACTAAATCCGAGGTAGCTGTTGTTTGACTTCGAGTTCACTTCACGCATCTCAACGCATAATCTTGCCACTTAAAAAAAAACCCATTGTCTCCCACTCCATGGCTGGTTAACCTGACAATGCGTATGTTGTGAAAGGCAATGGTTCACACTCGCTAATCCGATCACCTCAGCCTCAAGCACAGGGTCCCCCTTTTCACAGCATGTCGCCAGCCGCGCGGATACTCAACTCCCCCCTCATTCGCCCGAATATTTATTCTCACACCTAGGTCTCGATGTTAACGCATCTATGAATCACGCACATGAGGCATAAATACACACGCACAAACGCCACACACGACACAACGACGTCAACTTGGTTGAGGCCTAAAGTAAGCGGTTGCGTCCACGTCCTCTCCGGTCTTCTTCTTCATCACGGATAACAGGAAAACAAAATCGGGCCAGAGCCAACTCAGTGGCCCCGGCGTGGTTCGAGACCACGTGCTGAGGCTCACAGCACGTGCTACGAAGTCGGTGAAGTTACTCCCTAAACTACTTGGATCTCCATTGATAAAAGCTCAACGTGACCCCGCACGACGTCCCTTTATTAACAGTGATTTCGATTCTTTTTCGGCAGGTGAAAGAAAGAGCACACGTTGGCAAAAGACTGCGTGTGAATCGACTTACGCATACAAAAAAATATTTTGAAGGAAATAAGTAGGGGCAGAGGAGGGATGGAAAGATTCACTATGATGATGTTACAGGGATGTGTTCGACTTGTGCTCGTTTACCCAAGTACATGGACACGCCGTAGATTATTGCTCCGATTGTGCTAAAATGAGGAGCAAATACAGAAGTGAAAGCAGCAGAAATGTACGAAGATAAATAAATCCAACGAGCTAAATATGGGCATCAAATCGCAGGTCAGACAGGACACACACGTGGAAGACGATGCTACATGGCGTTGATGCCGACAACACGCGACACATTTGGACTCTGCGGAACCGCCGCCGACAGCGCCATCGCGTGGTCTTCTACCGACAGCCCTCTACCAAAACAACATCTCAGCAGCATGGCCTAATTAAGAACTGCTCTGTTAGTGTCAACTACGTCGCTGGTTCTACCTCAAATGAACTATTTAAGGCAGGTACTTTATCCTTCCAAAAATAAGTTCACTTTTTGACACAGGAACCGACTATGAAATTGGAAACGAAATTGACTAAAGTGGTGCATATTTTGGAAAAAAACTGTCTGGTGCACGAAATCTGAAGCCCAATAAGGGTTGTTTTGATAAATATTCGGTGGCATTTATTCCCATGATGCTATTGTACAAATGTGACGTCTGCTGGGCAAGGTAGCCCTCCAATGCAATCGGTAGCTGAGTTCCATAAACACCAGGACACACTGCACGATGTCAACTCGGTTGCGAAATCGGCTAGTCATGTGCAACATGGCAGCCTGGTCACTGCACTCTAAACACCACTTTGGTGACCACGTTAACACACTTGCATGCACGTTGCATGCACGGCTCTCGATGCACCCCAGTTTTGCGACACTTCGGCCACAGTGTCAGAAGATTTCCGGACTTGGCGTTTGCCTGAGTAGAGCATAATGAAGCAGACATCCCGGTAGCAAGAAACCTACAGACATTCGGATTAGCGAAGCAACTGTTGTTCAAAATCAAGTCCCGACATTCTACGGCGCCAATACAAGGGTAATAAATGTCGGCGTTTCACGAAACTAATGTCAAGTCGACTTAATACGAATACCTACAACTAAGTGCACCTGTTCTTTCTTTAATTTTATCAACCACTTGTTTACTTACGCGTTAAAACTAATCGTTGTTTTTTTTTTTAATACTAAGGTGCTATACCATGAAATGCATCATTCGCTAAGTAAAGAATATACGTTACATGGATGCACGAAAATTAAATCGAACGTATAAAAGTGGAAGACTGGCGTGATGCAGATATACGTGGAAGAGAACGTTTATTACAGCGCTGAAGGGAGTTTAACATCCTCTACAATCCATTCGCATTTGTAGCACAAAACTGGATAGATGTAAGCACTTAAAAAGAAACCGGCGTATTATCACGCCCCCTTACCTATGAATTAATAAAAGTGATTAATTCACACCCTATTCGTGTTTTATTTGTCCAAAGCTGTCAGTAAACACGTGAGGCAGGATTTGCGCAGGCGGCCCATTAAATCACAAATTATAGTTTTGAGTAGGAAAAAAATAAGGAGCCTGTTTTTGAGACCAACTGATATTGACTACAGCTTTAGTGAACATAGTCAACAGCGCAACAAACCCGTGCTATCCAAATTGCCCCAATTTGTTCTGCTTTACAAAAAGTTTAAATGTAATGCAATCCCGATTTAATTTAATGTTTTCAGATGCTACCCAGCTTCGTGAAAAAAAGCGACTATTAAATCTAAACTTGATCACGGCTGTTCAGAAATAACGAAAAATGAAAAATTTTCATCTAAAATATGCTTACCTGATAGTTACGCCGAGGAAGTTGAGGACGGTAAAAATGTAGTCACCTCCGACGAACATGCCACCATAGGTTACAAATGTGTTCTAGGAAGTAACGGAAAATTCGAGGCATTTACCAAGCCGCAAACTGATTAAGCTAGGCAGCTCTGTGTATATAATTCAATGACAAGGATCGCGGAGCATTCGCAGTTCTCCCACTCCAATTAAACGTTGTCAACAATACTCAGGCTCTACCCTGGTTGTAAGTATAATAGCGCACAAACTTAAACACCTTAACTAGCATGCAAGGCCGATAGCGAAATTAATCGCAAAAGTGCGAGTCCGTGGATAAGAATAACCAAAAACGCTTTCTGAAGGCGGAAACAACATTCAACCGAAATTACCGACAGCTGATTTAATATGGGCCCTATTTATAAACTAAACTTAAGTAATGTACTCAGTTTGAAAAAAAGCAAATCGGATATTTAGAGTGATTAAACTGAAGCAGTTTCCAGTACCGCTCTCGACTTACAACAGCTTCAAAGTCAACAATAGGTTGTCGTCAAATCGATAAAATCCGTTGATATGTAGCGCATGGTAAATAATTGGACAAACAACAAAAAGGTGTCAGAAAATGAAACTTATGGAAAGCTGCGTACCTTCATAACGCCAACAACGCTAGTAGTAAGAGCTGATGTAAGGCGAGTACATTCAAAGGTTAAAAACTGCAAAGTAACAGCTGCCAAACATGAAAACAAAAATCCAGCCACGAAAAGGGCGTCATCCCACAATGGAAATTCCAGAACCTTTGGATGAAAAGAAAAAAGTAATTAAACCAACAAACGTTTCGGCATAGGCGTGTCGCTACTTATCCTGCACCGTCAGAATTTGATTGAATCATAAATTTGCACAAATCGGATATCAAAACGGTGTTCACAAGGGCGTTCACGTGTGGGTTTCGTACAAATAAGGTCATAATTTTCACAAACTCCCAGAATACACATTTCTCAAGGCAGACGTCAGTCCAACCAGTAGGCTGGCGTTTCGCAGTGCAATCTTTTAAAGCTAAAACAATGTTTGCAGTGCGAGATCGACCGTGTGCATGCTCGCGTACAAACAAGTTTACTCCACTTTATACAAAAGACAAGTTTTTTTGCAATGAGCAAGCTTAGATTATAACCCTCCTACTAGGTACCACTTTGTTCAGAGATAGTTTCACCAATACATAATTAAATACGAAAGCGAATTTGAAAGAATCCATTTGCCTGTCTCCTAGTCGATAGGTAACAGGTGTAAATTAATATAGCTGGTGAGGATATAGATTGCACAGACATTAATGTATCACCACGGGGGAAAAATAAAATGACGGGACATATAAAAACAAGGATAGCTCACCGGTTGAAGCTTGCCAGTTGCGATAGTAAGGACAGCCAAGAAAGGGTACATAAATAGCGAATTGTAAAACAGTAATGTTACACTTGAGTAATTATACTTTGACAGTCGTGATTTCGTCAAAAGACCCTTAGCAGCTGTCGAAAAATTGTTAATGAAAACAAATGTGTATCCTTTCAGATCAAAGTTTATATCACCGCTAAAACTGGACAGTTGTGAAATTTGCATACCTAACAGCAACGAATGCGCCTAACACCATTGTGACAAGCGCCGCATGCGTCAAAATACTATGTCGCTTTCTAGAAAGTTGGACAAACTGACGGAATCTCACCCAAAAAAGTAGAATTCCCCGAACAATATGAAAAAATTAGATATGCGTCGCAGGGCGGAGAACAATGGCAGACTAAAAATAATTCAATGAATTATAACTACCTAATCGCACCAGTTCCAGCTAGGCCCATTGTGACATCAATTGCATAAATACACGAAAATGGAATGATCTTCAGGCGCGAACGGTTTCACGTAACGCGAAAGACTACCTTTGAAATCAAGTTTTTGGATGGTCGTGGAATAGTTACAAGCCCGCAAATAGAAAATGCAAGCAGAACAGCAAATGTCATAAACATCTGAGAAGCGGCTAAAAAAATAGGCGACGGAAACCTTGTTACGATTTCAGCGAAATCTGCTTTGACCTACTTGTTAGAAGTGAGAATAACCTTATTAACAAACATAATCCCAATTGATGAAAGGGCATATCCAGCTACCACCACAGACTTATACAATACAGAACTGCCTTCCACCATAATTTTAGCTGAAGCAAGCCTGGGAGAATGACACTTATATCTGGTAATCCCGTTACTGACCAATTACATTTCAACCTTCAAATCAGCTAAATAAATATAAACCAGCTGACACCAGCAACTTATTCGGATGCATTGGAATTTTAAATTAAAAAATTAGTCTAACACTCTTTATAAAGCTTATAACTCGTTTTATGCCTGCAAAGGATGAACTAAGATCTATTTTGACAATTCATCGTACTCAATAGTAAACCTGCTAAATTTACTTTAATCTAACTTATTGTCATTCAATGAAGATAAGCTCCCATTCTCATTTAAATACGATGCTGGTCTCATTAATTTAAATAAAACCATAGAAGAAAATTTATAATTAAACGGGCAATGACACCGTTACGGAGTCGTTTTAATATAATTTATTTAATTTACGTGCCCGAAATGGTGAGATCTAATTTTCCAGAAATTTTCCATTGCACTAATTCTAATATGATGCCTAGTGAGTTCAAAGAAAGAAACTAGCTTGCGAACTGGATTCCCAACCTTACTGTAAGTCGTTTGTTAACAAGATAAGTTCAGATTGATATAATTTCACAAGCGAGGAATGATTTAATTTAGCTATTCGGCACACTATCTTAAAACTTTCTTAATGCCTTTTTATTTAGTGCAAACCGCACGACAGTTTTTTTCGAATGCAGTGATTTCCCATTAATTTTCATGAAAAATGTAGACGAAATGAAGTGATTTTATGAGTCATTGAAAAAAATTAACAAAGCTGCAATTTTACGCGGACAAGTCCTTTTAAATCAACTTTATCACGAAACAGTAAAATGAGGTTAACTGACCTGATTCTAGAATGATTCAATATCGCCGAGAATCTAATCCGTCAATCCTGCTCTGATTTTTATGCTTTTAACTATTCTGGTCGACAAAAAACGAAATACATAGTAACTCATTGCTTTTGTTTCTGCCAACAAGAAGTGGAAGGAAATTAATATTAATGAGACTGATTAGAATTGGCACAAGTAATTACGCATAAATGATTAAAATACATCATTCCCTGACGTAAGACATCCACTAAAAGTAATCAGGAGTCATAATTATAATAAAGAGCCTGCCACTAGTATAACCGATGATAGACGGCACACCAGCCAAAAAAAATATGATTTCTCAAAGAATTTCACTGCATTTGTCAATTGAGGTTGCGTACACATATTGCAATTCCTATAATTTCTAATATTCTTGCTTGTTGACATAAGTTCGATTTTCCAAAATAATGTTTGAGTTTTAATGTCTTACCTAATAAAGCACCATTTGTAAAATTATTCCAATTTGAAGGGGTTTGCCGGCATTCAATATTTGAAGAAGTGTTATCTTGAAATTCACGGAAAAAAGCTCCGGTGCCACATTCAATTCTCACACACATATGCAAAGTTGCTACCACTTCCCTCCTGATGTTTAAAACCGCATTTTCTTTTTGCAAGTTCATTTTTTTTTATGTCTATATGAATGGCAGTTGTGACTTCACCTATCTTGATCATTTTCTAACAAAAAATTATGACATTAAATCTCTATTTTATATTTCATCTTCACTCTGTCAAATTGCCTTTTGGTGCATATCACCAATAGGTCTGAAAATAATTGCGAGGTATCGCTTTGAAGTTAAAGGTACTGGTACAACAGAAAAGGCTTTATTGACCAATCAGAAGCCAGAGCCACACGTCAGGCGCCTTCCATCCGAGTCCGCCACGCTGGCCACGTCGCTCATTATATACTGCACCTCATTCGCGTCCATCACTGGTTGGCTGATTATCTTCCGCGCATGTCATTGGAACGCAAGAGACAGAGGATTGGCTGAAGTCAGCGTGGTCCAGTATGTCTGCGCCCTGATCCGACGCCACTGTAGAATACCCGAGCCCAAATAGGTAAAGACCGGTACAACAGAACAGGCTTTATTGACCAATCAGAAGCCAGAGCCACGCGTCAGGCGCCCTCCATCCGAGTCCACCACGCTGGCCACGTCGCTCATTATATCCTGCACCG